GCACTGCTCTTGTCCAGCCGTTTATATACATGGGCCGGATGGGAAGTGGTTAACTAGTTGCCGACCGTAGATAGCCATTGACGGCTGCACTGCGGCCGGCCACTTCTGGGAGGGCGTCATATGAATTTCTCCCAGAACACGCTCTTCTGCTCGCCCCCCGGCGATCTGCGAGATCGATGTGTACCATGTGATCAGCCATGTCCAATGACACGCTGATCACCGGCAAATGCAATTGCTGGTTCTTGGCTGCACTTTCCTCACGCTGTCAGAGCGCGAGCAAAGTACTGCCGAGAACCGCAGTTGTCAGAGCGGGGATCGGCACCGATAATCAGTGCCCTGCCTGCTTTGCCGCCAGTCAGTGTACAGCAGTGATGCCTAACAGTGCAGCCTCATCAACGCACATCATTGAAAGAGAAAAATTACCTGTTTGCAAAATTTTATAATAGAAACAAAGAAGCTTTTTTTTATTATTTTTTGCTCTTTTTTTATAGCGCGAAAAGTAGAACACCCAGACGCAATTAAATATCACCAAAAGAAAGCTCTATGTGTGAGAAAAATGATAAAAATTTCATATGGGTATAATGTTGCATGACCGCGCAATTGTCATTCAAAGTGCAACCACGCTGAAAGCTGAAAAATGGCCTGGTAAGGAAGGGGGTAGGCAAGTGGTTAAAGAAAAATGAGAAAAACCCCCCAAAACTCATCATTCATGCTTTAATAAAACACAATGCTGAAATGGCTCAAACTCAGCCTGCATAGGTGTGACCCGAGCCTTAGAGCTGATCCTTCAATGGGGACAACCGCCCAACAAGGAGTCGTCGTCCCCTAACTTTGGGAAAATTTCCTCTTCCTTCCTCTTGTGTCTTTAGATATAAATATCGGAGGTATGAATGTTTGCTCTGAGCACTTTAGCAAAGTAATAGAGTACAAGCATTGACTTGATCTCTGTTCAGAATCATTAAACCGCATGCTGATGGGAGAGCGTTAATAATTTGATTTACATGTAGCACTGCACACGGCTCATACACACATTCAATCATATGTTCTGTGTTTTATGGGGCCCAAGTGACTTCCAGAGTCCATTTGTCTGACCTGGGAAGGCTTTGTCAGTCTGATCCCAGATCTGGTTCTTTGTGGGGGAGCATTGCTGAAAATGTAATGTTATTACATTATATATATTTAGAATGTGTAGAATCTTTGTGTGCTTTTTTGCTGAGTGACTTATAACAAGGGAGTGCTAGCAACCAGTCTCCCAGCAACCATTCACCAGCACTCACTTTATATAATAGAAAAACCAATGCAGTGGCTTGCAGCTCACTCTGTAAACCACTTCCACTTCCACTCCCCCCCCCCCCCCCCTTCCAGTCGGGACACTCCCCCCCCCCCCCCCCTTCCAGTCCGGACACTCCCCCCCCCCCCCCTTCCAGTCCGGGACACTCCCCCCCCCCCCCCCCCCCTTCCAGTCCGGACACTCCCCCCCCCCCCCCCTTCCAGTCCGGACACTCCCCCCCCCCCCCCCCCCTTCCAGTCCGGACACTTTCCCCCCCCCTTCCAGTCCGGACACTCCCCCCCCCCCCCCCCCCTTCCAGTCCGGACACTCCCCCCCCCCTCCAGTCCGGACACTTCCCCCCCCCCCCCCCTTCCAGTCCGGACACTCTCCCCCCCCCCCCTTCCAGTCCGGACACTCCCCCCCCCCCCCCATCGCCCCCCCCCCCCCCCTTCCAGTCCGGACACTCCCCCCCCCCCCCCCCTTCCATCCGGACACTATCCCCCCCCCCCCCCCCTTCCAGTCCGGACACTCCCCCCCCCCCCCCCTTCCAGTCCGGACACTCCCCCCCCCCCCCCCTTCCAGTCCGGACACTCTCCCCCCCCCCCCCTTCCAGTCCGGACACTCCCCCCTCCCCCCCCCCCCCCCTTCCAGTCCGGACACTCCCCCCCCCCCCCCCCCCTTCCAGTCCGGACACTCCCCCCCCCCCCCCCCCCTTCCAGTCCGGACACACTCCCCCCCCCCCCCCCCTTCCAGTCCGGACACTCCCCCCCCCCCCCCCTTCCAGTCCGGACACTCCCCCCCCCCCCCCCCCCCTTCCAGTCCGGACACTTCCCCCCCCCCCCCCCCTTCCAGTCCGGACACTTCCCCCCCCCCCCCCCCTTCCAGTCCGGACACTTCCCCCCCCCCCCCCCCCACTTCCAGTCCGGACACTTCCCCCCCCCCCCCCCTTCCAGTCCGACACTTCCCCCCCCCCCCCCCCCCTTCCAGTCCGGACACTTCGCGCTCCCCCCCCCCCCCCCCCCTTCCAGTCCGGACACTTTCCCCCCCCCCCCCCTTCCAGTCCGGACACTCGCTCCCCCCCCCCCCCCCCCCTTCCAGTCCGGACACTTCCCCCCCCCCCCCCCCTTCCATCCAGTCCGGACACTTCCCCCCCCCCCCCCCCCTTCCAGTCCGGACACTTCCCCCCCCCCCCTTCCAGTCCGGACACTTCCCCCCCCCCCCCCCCTTTCCAGTCCGGACACTTCCCCCCCCCCCCCCCCCCCCCCCTTCCAGTCCGGACACTTTCAGCGCTATCACACTTTGAATGACAATTGCGCGGTCATGCAACACTGTACCCATAATAATTTTTTTAATCATTTTTTTGAGACAGATTAAAGCTTTATTTTGGTGGTATTTATTCACCGCTTGGGATTTTTATTTTTTTTTTTTTTTTGCTATGTAAAATGAAAAGTCCAAACATTTTGAAAGTTTTTGTATAAAATCTTGCAAATCTTTCTTCATGAATCTTGGCCAAAATTTATTCCGTTATCTTTTTAGTAAAAAAAAAAAAACCCAATTAGACCAAAAATTATAATTTAAAAAGGGTTTTTTTACATTTTTTTTTTAGATTTGTGTTTTGGTTTTTTTTTAGTGTTTTTTTTTAACATTCTTGCAGCCATTGAGAACTACTGTGTGAGCTGTGATTGGTCACAGCTTGTCACATGGGACAAGGCTGTTGTGAATAGCCCTGTACCATGTGATCTCTGTGATCATTCACAGATTTCATACGTAGTAAGCAATGATGTCAGAAGTGACATCTTGTGTACTACTCTGCATGTGATCACTGATTGGCCAATCAGTGATCACATGATCGGGACCTCACACAGAGGTCCCGTACGACGATCGGTGTTCTACTGTGTCCGGAGGACACAGCGGGCACCGGATCGCGGTAATGCGCACTCCCAGGGAGCGCGCACAAGCAGGGTGCGGGGAGGCCATTTATAAACAACCACCTGACCCTGCACTGCCACCGTCCAACCGTTTATATACATGGGCCGGACGGGAGGTGGTTAATAGATATATCGGCAGCACTGCTGAAAATGCAGCCAATCCATTAGCTGCAGCCAGGTGAGGTAGTTGGGCATGAAACCTGTCCTTTCACAAGAGGTGGGCTAGACACCAGCTAATCTGAGCAGTTTGCATTTTTAGCCATGTTCTCCATCTTTGACGATCAGTCATTAGAAATGGGCAGGATCGCTAAAAATGAAGACTTTTCAATCACTAGAGCAGGCTTTCTCAACCCTTTCAACACAGAGGAACCATTGAAATAAAGTTCTTGTCTCGGGAACCCCTACGAATAATTACTTTTATGTGCAGCTCATGATTAGTGTGATGGTCAGGGGGAAGAATAACACCGTAAGGCTATGTTCACACTAGCTTTGTTAGCAGGCATCAGACCGGCTTTTGGAAAGCGTTTTTAAAGCTCCTCAATCTCCTATGAAAGTTCTACACATGGCAGCAGACAGTGCTGTTCACACTGAAGTGAAAATTGACATCTTATGTGGAGTCAAGAGGCTTTGATGCCTCCCATTCAAGTCTATGGTGATGCTCCTCAAACGCCTGACAGGTGTTTGCGGAGCGTTAATACCATTAAACTTCATTATAGGCGTTTGCCAAGCATTACAACTGCACCAGAAACGTCTCAAAAACCTGCGTAGTTAGGGCGTTTGGGGAGTGTTAAAAAACCGCTTCTCAAACGTCTAAGGGCTCGTTCTCACTTGACTTCTAACTTTTTCCAAACGCCCCCTATAGCATTAGGCGTTTGGGAAGTGTTTTTAATGCTCCCTACCACCCTATGCGCGGTTTTCAGGCGTTTGCTAAGCGTTTTAAAACCGCACCACAAATGCCTATAATGAAGTTAAATGGTATTAACACTCTGCAAACGCCTGCCAGGAGTGGCACCCTAGAGTAGACTTGAATGGGAGGCTTCAACTCCTCCTGACTGGACATCAGGCGTCCGTTTTGACGCAACGCAAGTCTAACGCTTCAGTATGCATGTGCAGAATTTTCATAGGTGTCTGAGAAGCATTAAAAACACTTCTCAAATGCCTGTCTGACGCCTGCTTACAAAGCTAGTGTGAACGTAGACTAACGCCTGTCAAACACTTTAGGGGCATTTGGCAAGCGTTAGAAATGAGTCAAGTGTGAACAAGTCCTTACAGATAGCTAAAAAGATCAATGGTGTCAGTGGGAACTTATCTCAGAGTCAAATTGTTCAATGAACAACTTCTGAAGGAGCCCTGACTGATTGGCTGGGGGGGGGGGGGTGCCTTTTTGTTTTAATTATGAGGGACTCCAAATAAAATGAATGTAGTTCCTCTTTAAGTAGGCCATGTCTGTTAGATTGCAGTAGTTAATCCTCCATCTGTAGTGAGAAGCTGATGCCGAGAATTGCTCAACAGCAGTCCTGGGGCCGAACATTGGCTCACGGATGACGTTTGGAACGGATCGTTCTTCACAGCTGACTCATGTCCTATTCGCTAACAAAACCCTTTGCTGCCTTTTCTCAGCATGGTCGGCTTCACATTCCAGCGATGCAAGTGTCACATCTCAAGGAGCTCTCACATTCAAGTGCTGTTGAACTCTGGAGGTCCTAAAGAGCTTGGACGTAAAACCTTTTTTTTGGTACTGTCCTCCTATAGATCCAAAGATTAGACCTGTTGGAAAATGACAATAATTATAATAAGTCTCCTCTGGCTGCTGGAGGAAATCGTTCACCATCTACAGGATGATCACCATAACTTTTAGCCACCTCCCGTCCACCGGATGGTGTCAGTGCAGGGTTGGGTGGCCGTTTATAAACTGCCTCCCCGCCCCCTGCTTGTGCGCGCTCCTCGATCCAGTGCCCGCTGTGTCCTCCGGACACAGTGGGACACCGATCGTTGTACGAGGTCCCGATCATGTGATCACTGATTGGCCAATCAGTGATCACATGCAGAGTAGTACACAAGATATCACTTCTGACATCACAGATTTCACACGTAGTAAGCAATGAATGATCAGAGGTCACATGGTAGAGGGTCATTCGCAACAGCCTTGTACCATGCGACAAGCTGTGACCAATCACAGCTCACACAGTAGTTCTCAATGGCTGCAAGAATGCAGCCAGAGAGAAGGAGAAATAATTGCTTTTACAGCCTTTATGGATGTAAAAGCAATCAGTGTAACAAAAAAAAAAAATTTTCATAATCATGTGCAGAGTGATGACATGCAGAGTAGTAAGCAAGATGTCACTTCTGACATCATTGCTTACTACTTGTTAAATCTGTGAATGATCACAGAGATCACATGGTACAGGGCTATTCACAACAGCTTTGTACCATGTGACCAATCACAGCTCACACAGTAGTTCTCAATGGCTGCAAGAATGCAGCCAGAGAGGAGGAGAAATGATTGCTTTTACAGCCTTTATGGGTGTAAAAGCAATCGGTGTAAGAGAAAAAAAATCTTCATTACCCCCCACAAGTAGTACAGTGTCACCATGGTACAATATATATGTAAAGCGCTGTGTAAATTGACGGTGCTATATAAGTACCTGAAATATATGTGTGTGTGTGTGTATATGTAAAATGTATGGTTTGCGTTTCATTTCTATTTTAAACTGAATGAAAATGAATTTACAAGGCGAGGGCTCACATTTTTTATCACATTAGAGAAGTGATTATAAAATCTCCTCTTCTAAATGAGGGAAATTCTGGTTTAGACAGTAGTCATTTCTACATGGTTTTTAAGCTTTTATATTCATGTTAACTTAACCCCCCTGGCGGTATTCCTGAGTGTAGCTCGGGGTAAAATTTGAGTACCAAAAGCGGTAACCCCGAGCTACACTCGGGCTTACCATGCGGCGCTGCATAGGGAGTCCCTGCAGCACTTACCTTGTCCTTCGCTCCCACGGTGTGTCCCCTGCAGCATCCCCGGCCATCTCCTCCTGCTGATGCCGGCATCCGGCTTCTGGTCCCTGTGACGTCGGGACGTACGGGCGCCGGAACCGGTGTTAAATTTGAAATTTTTAAAAAATGTCATGTTTGCTGTCATTACTGTTTCAATGCATTTCACATATATTTTGTCCCTACTGCTTTGTCCTGCGCCCTGCCTGCATTTTGACTGTTCTTTCTGCCTGGAAACTTAGAACTCCATGGCGTCCAAAGCGTGTCCCTTTACGTCAAAAGCGGTTTTAGAACAGCGATAGTAAATCATAACCATTTGCAGAATTGAGTGATAATGATTCGTGGGGGGAAATTCCTCATCGGACACTGAAAAAACGATTCTGCGACTTTGCTCAGCGATGTGCGAATTTGCCTCTGTATTTCAAATTTCAGTGCGTTTGGTTTGATTATATTATCGAATTAAATTTATTATTATATTATTTTTTGATTATTTATTAAATTATAATTTATGATTTTGTGTTTCAAGTTTTATCATATCCGGGATGTTTACTAGACTCTTGTTCGGACAGATTTCAGTGAGTTATTCCTAAAAATTACAGCCTACAATAAAAAACTACATATTTCCATGCAAAAAAATTACCGCTTTCAGCACAAAAAAATCGGAAAGAATCAGACTGCCAAGGAGGTTAAACAAATGACTAGGTCTCAAAATGTGTGACTGTCTGAAGAAAGACGTTCTCAAAGATTACATTTGTCAGTTTAGTTGTGAAAACATCTCCCATAGGTTACAAGGCCTCTACATTTTTAATCGTTCATTATGAAGAAAACAAAGTTCATGTCTTTGAGGGATTACTACCCTGTGGCACCTTCACTTCTCACCCCAGCCTCCCCAGATCTGTACGTTTTGCTCTGTTGATTTGTTTTGTCATTTAATAACTTGTTCTCCTTTTTCCTCCTCAGTTTTTTTTTTGAAAGATGACGTCCAGAAAGAAAGTGCTTCTGAAGGTCATCATCCTGGGGGATTCTGGGTAAGCAAAGCACATTTCTCTACATTTACGCCTTCTCTATATGGTATTTATTGTCGAAAATTCTGTATTTTCTAAGAAACAAAATGGGCCGATCGCTCTTGGCACTATTTAGGTTTGGCCTGTGCAGTCTCTGCCAATCCATGATCAGCTGCTTGTTGGCAGGAAGTGGCTTTTCAGAAAAGCATATACTTTCCTTTCTGCATCGAGCAAACACTTGGCTGGATACGCGCTTCTGTTTTCTGTGTAAAATGCGAAAATACATTTGGCTGCAAATTCCATGTATTTTTCTAGCAGTAAATTCTGTAGAACCTTATAGATTACTGGAAACATTAATACAGTCCTAGACCAGAAGCTTACAATTTAATATCTTGCCTGGCCAAAGACTGATCGGAATTTCTCTGGTTCAGCAGGAATCGGCCGAACTTCAGTCCATCTTTGGGCAGGCTGGTTGTTCTGAAGTCTATCGACTTCAGTATAACTAACCTGTCAGGTTTTCTTATGTGTAGCTATAGCCACAGGTAGTGATCATTGTATTCTAATGGTAGGGAAACCTACTGCTGTCAGAATACAAAGATACAGCGGGAGGGACTGACAACACTGTTGATGGGGAAATCAAACTATTTTTCTTTCTTTCAGTCCATGGTTGAAGGAAGGAAAATTGCATAATCCATATCCAGCCTTAGAGCGCATTTGGACTTCTGAATGCACCCACTTGATTAGATGCAGAAACCCCAGCGGGGGGTTCCCTCTATTAGCTGCTAGAGCAATGGAAGGCTGCCAGCTCCCGCAGCTTATTGCGCCCACTCATTCATGGATTGCTTTCAATTTTTGGAGCTGTTTGCAGGAACCCCTGCTGGGGTTCTCATATCTGATCACCAATCAGATGTATTTGAAACTGTGAACGAACCTTAAAATGTAACCTTGGCAGCACCACCTTGCCATTTTCAGGGAATTCCAAACTGAGGTTGTGACCCTGTTTTTTCTCCTAGGACTGTCGATTGATCCTGACTTCAGTGCCATTACATCAGACAAGCATACAGCCACTGATGTCATTAGTCTCATTTTCTCATCCTGTATACTTGTAGTCAGTGACTCGCTAGGTAGTGCAGCCAGTGACTGCCCCCAAAACTACACCTTCAGAATGGCTACTCCCATATTTCTGTTCTTCAGGTTCCCATAACCACTTTAATACCCGGCTATAGCTGAAAGACGGCTACAGTGCTGTTGTCTTGTTCTGGGAGGGCGTCCATGGATGTCCTTCCAGAACCCCACCCCAAGGGTTTGCATAAGGTGCACTCTTGACAGCTGTGTCCTTTTTGGACACAGCTGATCACAGATCTGGGTAAATGTCCAATCACAGCGGCCCTTTACACGTGATCAGCTGTGATTGGACACAGCTGATCATATGGTAAACAAACTTCAGTTATCAGCAGTCTTTTCCTCACACACTGTGTGTGTCAGTGCATGGTTTACACCAGGGGTGGGCAAACATTTTGACTTGAGGGACGCAATGGGTTCATATATTGGACCCGGGGGCCGGACCAAGAGTAGATGAATGATGTGTATGTGTCATCCATAGTAAGTATAGTAATATTCCCCCATAGTATAGTATAGTAATTCGTCCCCCATATAGTAATTCGTCCCCCATATAGTAATTCGTCCCCCATATAGTAATTCGTTCCCCCATATAGTAATTCGTCCCCCATAATTCGTAATAGTTCGTCCCCCATATAGTAATTCGTCCCCCATATAGTAATTCGTCCCCCATATAGTAATTCGTCCCCCATATAGTAATTCGTCCCCCATATAGTAATTCGTCCCCCATATAGTAATTCGTCCCCCATATATTCGTAATTTCGTCCCCCATATAGTAATTCGTCCCCCATATAGTAATTCGTACCCCCATATAGTAATTCGTCCCCCATATAATCCCCCATATAGTAATTCGTCCCCCATATAGTAATTCGTCCCCCATATAGTAATTCGTCCCCCATATAGTAATTCGTCCCCCATATAGTAATTCGTCCCCCATATAGTAATTCGTCCCCCATATAGTAATTCGTCCCCATATATAGTAATTCGTCCCCCATATAGTAATTCGTCCCCCATATAGTAATTCGTCCCCCATATAGTAATTCGTCCCCCATATAGTAATTCGTCCCCCATATAGTAATTCGTCCCCCATATAGTAATTCGTCCCCCATATAGTAATTCGTCCCCCATATAGTAATTCGTCCCCCATATAGTAATTCGTCCCCCATATAGTAATTCGTCCCCCATATAGTAATTCGTCCCCCATATAGTAATTCGTCCCCCATATAGTAATTCGTCCCCCATATAGTAATTCGTCCCCCCATATAGTAATTTGTCCCCCATATAGTAATTCATCCCCCCTATAGTAATTCATTCCCCATATTCATCCCCCATATTAAGTCCCCAAGTCCCCCCTGTGTCAATTCACTTACCTTTGCTCCGCGTGTTCCTCTCGCCGTGTTCCCGCGCCGTTCCGGTGTAGCATGAAAATCTGTCTCCTATGAGGATCTGTCCCCCTCGACGTATCTGCGCATGTGCCAGTTTCAGGCATTAGCAGCCGATCGGCGATCTCCGGCACATGCGCAGATACGTCGGGGGACAGATCCTCATAGGAGACAGATTTTCATGCTACACCGGTCTTCAGGGCGGACTGTGAGAGGAGCCTAGCGGGAGCCTAGCTCCGCGGGCCGGATTAAAAGGTCCGCCGGGCCGTAGTTTGCCCATTGCTGGTTTACACTGATAATCAGAGCACTGGTCATCAGTGCAGTCTCATCAGTGCCCTGATTATCTGTACAGCCTCAGCGCATATCCGTGAATAAGAGAAATTTACTAAATTTTATAATTGAAAGAAAATCTGTAAAATATATATATATATATATATATATATATATATATATATATATATATATATATATATATATATATATATATACACACACATATATATACACGTTATTGGTCTTTTTTTTTTTTTTTTCATTTAGAAAGATATTAAAGCATTCTTCTGTGGCATTTAATCTCCACTGGGTTTTTTTTTTTTTTTTTTATCTTGTAACAAGAATTTATGATGGTTTTATAATGTGGTTTTTTTTTTTTTTTTTTAAACCACCACATTAAGAATTTATGATGGGTTTTTTTTTTTTAAACCACCTCCCGTTCGGCCAATCTATATAAACGGTCAGACTGTGGCAGTGAAGGGTCGGGTGGCCATTTATAAAAACTGCCTCCCCACACCCTGCTTGTGCGCGCTCCCACCACGATCCGGTGCCCGCTGTGTCCTCCGGACACAGTGGCACAGCGATTGTCGTACGGGACCTCTGTGTGAGGTCCCTATCGTGATCAGGGATTGGCCAATCAGTAATCACATGCAGAATAGTAAGCAAGATGTCAATTGTGACGACATTGCTTACTACGTGTGAAATCTGTGAATGAATACATAGGTCACATGGTACAAGGCTATTCACAACTTCCTTGTACCATGTGACAAGGTGTGACCAACCACAGCTCACTCAGTAGTTCTCAATGGCTGCAAGAATGCAGCTAGAGAGAAGGAGAAATGATTGTTTTTACAGCCTTTATGAGTGTAAAAGCAATCAGTGTAAAAAAAAAAAAAAAAAAAATCTTCATCACCCCCTACTAGTAGTACAGTGTCACCATGGTGTCACTGTACTGCAAGGGTGACAGTATGTAAAAAAAAAAGTGAAAAAAATGTTTAAAAATTATAATTTTTGGTTATAAACTAATTTTGAGGGGTTTTTTTGTTTTTTTTTTAATAAAAATATAACGTAATAAATGTTGGCCAAGATTTAGGATGAAAAATATTTATTTGTAAAATGTTATAAGAAAAACCCTTTTTTTCAAAATGTTTGGATTTTTTAATTTACATAGCAAAAAAAATAAAAATCGCAGTGGTAAATAAATACCACCAAAATAAAGCTTTATCTGTCTCAAACAAATGCTAAAAAATTCATATGGGTACGGTGTTGCATGACCGCGCAATTGTCATTCAAAGTGTGAGAGCTGAAATCTGAAAATTGGCCTGGGCTGGAAGGGGGTAAAAGTGTCCGGACTGGAAGTGGTTAAAGAAAATTCAATTAAAAGATATATTAAAAAAATGCTTTATCTGTCTAAAAAAAAAAAAAAGATGAAAAATTGAATATGGGTACAGTATTGCATGACTGCGCAATTGTCATTCAAAGTGCGTCAGCGCTGAAAATTGGCCTGGACAGGAAGGGAGTGAAGGTACCCGGTATTGAAGTTAAATAGCAACCAATCAATCTTATAAGTGATCTGACCACTGTCAGCTGTGCGATTGGCTGCTGTTGTTTACTACTCCAAGTCGCTGTACTCTTCAGTTCCAAGTGTTTGTCATGCAGTTGAAGTACCAAGTCACACCTGTAGGTGGTGCTGCTGCTGAATATAATCTTAGTATCCAGTATACCAGGATCATCTGTCATTGATGGGACCCCTCCCTTGTTATGTCTTTGGGGATTGGGATGATCCGGAAGGGGATTGGGATGATGTGTGGTAATCCATGATTTTTGATTTAGACACAGTCCTTCACTTGCTAACAATTTTTTTTTTTTTTTTTTTTTTTTTTTTTGTCCTGCTGCAGGGTTGGCAAGACTTCTCTTATGAACCAGTATGTTAATAAGAAATTTACTAACCAGTACAAAGCCACAATTGGGGCTGACTTTCTGACCAAGGAGGTGATGGTGGATGACCGGCTGGTCACAATGCAGGTATAGTACTGCTAAAGGGTAACGGCCTGGGGCTGGCAGGATCACCAAATGTAGACACCAGAATAATGAATGGCAAGCATGGACAAATGAATGTTTAGTAAAGACAGTAAAACAAAGTAGTTGTATGTAAGCTTTTAGGTTTACTGACATTTTAGGATCTCACCTGGGGCCGTACAGTGTAAAACTTTGGGCATGGTCCCCCCCATATTTGTTACATACAGCTGCCTATAGAACTCAATGGCTGTACACGGGTATGCTCCCTTACTCACATACATGTGCATGCATACAGGCGTAAAACCCTGGACACAGACTTCTTTGGGGTTTTTTGTGTCTGTATGCATGCATGTTTGCGCATTTACCCGTGTAAAGCCATTTATGTCTAAGGTCAGTTGTACGTGGCTCCTGACCGGGGACTTGTGCGGTCCCAGCTGGCCGTGTGCAGGAGCCTTAAAGCAATTTCATTCTTCAGATTGTAGCAGTGCTTTTTTACCTCTTCACGCCGGCTGAACGCAAATGTGTGGCCTCCTGGCATCTGGGCCTAGACCAGTGTTTCTCAATTCCAGTCCTCATGGACCCCCAACAGGTCATGTTTTCAGGATTTCCATTATTTTGCACAGGTGATTTGATCAGTTTCACTGCCTTAGTAATTACCCACAGCTGTCTCATTTGAGGGAAATCCTGAAAACATGACCTGTTGGGGGTCCATGAGGACTGGAGTTGAGAAACACTGGCCTAGACAAACACAAATGCTCCTGTGCTTGGGGATGGACTCGATGCAGGCTACAACCACATAAGGAATGTACTGGAACATGCACACCTTGCTGCCCTCAAATGTACCGGGGAAATCCAAATATACTGAATAAGGAAAGAAAAAACAGAGGGCGTACATTCCTAGTGCATTACCATCAAAAATAATAAAGTATGTGTTGTACTCACAAATGACAATACAGTCAAGGCACATCATAAAGAACAGCTGGATCAACACCGTGCTGAGTAACAGTCCGCAATAGGGAGTATAAACATCCAAGAGGTTGACGCGTTTCGAGGACTTGCCTCTTCCTCAGAGCCTTCCTCTGGGGCCTTATGGGTCTCCCCCTTCCTTCACAGCCTGTGACTGGACAGTAAAAGAAGCCGCAGCACAGCATTTCCTTGCTGTTCCTCCTATTAGCAGTTTGCACCCATATATTGCATTTTGAAAATACGTTTGACAATGTATTCATGCAGAGCCAATTTAATCTTTGTCCTAATATTTACCTAGCGTTCAGCTTTAAGTAAGATGGTCATATAGGTTTGTTCTCTCCCCCTCTAGATATGGGACACAGCTGGACAAGAGCGATTCCAGTCACTTGGTGTGGCCTTCTACCGAGGGGGCGGACTGCTGCGTTTTGGTGTTCGATGTCACTGCGCCCAACACTTTCAAAACCTTGGACAGCTGGAGAGATGAATTCCTTATTCAGGCCAGTCCACGAGACCCTGAAAACTTCCCTTTTGTTGTTCTGGGAAACAAGATAGACCTCGAAAACAGACAAGTAAGAAGTTTTTTTTTTTTTTTTTTTTGTCAATTGCAAGGAGCTCTGAGTGGGAGGGGGAGCAGATTGAGCTGAGCTGCAGAGTCACTGTGGGGTGGGCTGGCTGAGATGCAGAGTCACTGCTGGAAGAGGGGAGTGGGGTGAGCTGAGGAGTTGCTGGTGGAAGGGGGAGTGGGGTGAGCTGAGGAGTTGCTGGTGGAAGGGGGAGTGGGGGCTGGGTGAGCTGAGAGTTGCTGGTGGAAGGGGGAGTGGGGGCTGGGTGAGCTAAAGAGTTGCTGGTGGAAGGGGGCGCGGGGTGAGCTGGGGAGTTGCTGGTGAAAGCGGGGAGTTGCTGGTGGAAGGGTGAGCGGAGGAGTTGCTGGTGGTGGAAGGGTGGAAGGGGGGGAGCGGAGGAGTTGCTGGTGGTGGAAGGGGGAGCGGAGGAGTTGCTGGTGGTGGAAGGGGAGCGGAGGAGTTGCTGGTGGTGGAAGGGGGAGCGGAGGAGTTGCTGGTGGTGGAAGGGGGAGCGGAGGAGTTGCTGGTGGTGGAAGGGGGAGCGGAGGAGTTGCTGGTGGTGGAAGGGGGAGCGGAGGAGTTGCTGGTGGTGGAAGGGGGGAGCGGAGGAGTTGCTGGTGGTGGAAGGGGGAGCGGAGGAGTTGCTGGTGGTGGAAGGGGGAGCGGAGGAGTTGCTGGTGGTGGAAGGGGGGAGCGGAGGAGTTGCTGGTGGTGGAAGGGGGAGCGGAGGAGTTGCTGGTGGTGGAAGGGGGGAGCGGAGGAGTTGCTGGTGGTGGAAGGGGGAGCGGAGGAGTTGCTGGTGGTGGAAGGGGGAGCGGAGGAGTTGCTGGTGGTGAAGGGGGGAGCGGAGGAGTTGCTGGTGGTGGAAGGGGGAGCGGAGGAGTTGCTGGTGGTGGAAGGGGGGAGCGGAGGAGTTGCTGGTGGTGGAAGGGGGAGCGGAGGAGTTGCTGGTGGTGGAAGGGGGAGCGGAGGAGTTGCTGGTGGTGGAAGGGGGAGCGGAGGAGTTGCTGGTGGTGGAATGGGGGGGAGCGAAGGAGTTGCTGGTGGTGGAAGGGGGGAGCGAGGAGTTGCTGGTGGTGGAAGGGGGGAGCGGGGAGGAGGTTGCTGGTGGTGGAAGGGGGGAGCCGGGTGAGCGAAGGAGTTGCTGCTGGTGGAAGGGGGGAGCCGGGTGAGCGGAGGAGTTGCTGGTGGTGGAAGGGGGGGGAGCGGGGGGAGCGGAGGAGTTGCTGCTGGTGGAAGGGGGGGGGGAGCGGAGGAGTTGCTGCTGGTGGAAGGGGGGAGCCGGGTGAGCGGAGGATTGCTGCTGTGGTGGAAGGGGGGAGCCGGGTGAGCGGAGGAATTGCTGCTGGTGGAAGGGGGGAGCCGGGTGTTTGCTGCTGGTGGAAGGGGGGAGCCGGGTGAGCTGAGGAGTTGCTGCTGGTGGAAGGGGGGAGCCGGGTGAGCGAGGAGTTGCTGCTGGTGGAAGGGGGGGGGTGAGCTGAGGGTGCTGGTGGAGCGGGTGAGGAATTGCTGCTGGTGGAAGGGGGGAGCCGGGTGAGCGAGGAGTTGCTGCTGGTGGAAGGGGGGAGCCGGGTGAGCGGAGGAATTGCTGCTGGTGGAATGGGGGGGGGAGCCGAGGGTTGTTGCAGGTGGAAGGGGGGAGCGGAGTTGTTGCTGGTGGAGGGGGGAGCCGAGGAGTTGCTGGTGGAAGGGGGGAGCCGAGGAGTTGCTGCTGCAGGAAGGGGGATCGGGGTAAGATGAGATGCAGAGTTACTGCTGGAAAGAATAAATGAGGTGAACTGAGGAGTTACCACTGGAAGAGAGGTGATCTGAGATGTTTAGTCACCTGTGGGGGGAAAAAGAGGGGTGTGGCTGTGGGGGGGAATCTAGATTAGTTGAGATGCTAAGTCATTTTTTGCAGGGGAAAATGAGGTTAGCTGTGATGAGTCTCTGATGGGAGGGGGGAGCTGAGCTGCTCAGTTATTGCAGGAGGGGTACCTGCAACAACAGAGGTCAGGGAACCTGTTTTAAATCCCATTACTGCCTGTTAAAGGGGAGCTCCAGAAGTCCTTTTGAGACACAACCGATTTTACTAAGGGCCGTAATTGGCCAAGTTTTGAAAGGAGGGGCATTGGCCAGTTAAAGCCTGGCTTGTATTCATTGGCTAACTCAATAAAGCATTTCATTGATTGGGGCTTGCAGACCTCATATGGTTAGAAAATATCTTTTCATTGTTGTGCCTTCTCCACACAGGTCACCACAAAGCGATCACAGGTCTGGTGTCATAGCAAAAATAACATCCCGTACTTTGAAACCAGTGCTAAAGAGGCTATAAACGTGGAGCAGGCTTTCCAGACCATTGCACGGAACGCACTTAAACAGGTAATAAGCGTGTGCTGGCCTTTGTGTGTGTTTCACTTTGAAGAGTGTCTACATTAAGCAGATCTCATCTAGTTGTTCTGATATTTTTAAAAAAAAACTTCCCCTACAATCACACGGCCATGGGGTGCAGATAGTTTTCTGCGTTCAGAGGCAGCAAAATGCTGCTTATGAACACAGCAACACTCTATGCCAGGGGTGTCCAAACTTTTTTCAAAGAGGGCCAGATTGGATGAAGTGAACATGGTGGAGGGCCGAACATTTTTCCAAACATTCTTTGAACCATTACAATTAAATGCAAATAAATTATTTTATGCCAAGTTAATTGCAAATGACATACTTTTCATTTCATAACATTAAGATCAACTGACAGCTGAGTTTTCACAATGTATTGAAAATAAATTTTAAAAAAACTTACCTGCACTAATGTGAAGGGTGAAAAAGGTAGCTGGATCTGAAGTCTCTGCTCGGCAGCCGGGAGGGGAAGAGAAACGCACTTCACGCTGGAAGCCCGGCCCTGACGTCGCCCCGCCCTCTGTCGCTCCCAGAGCGGCGCAGTCACGCACGCGCACTGCTCTCAAGCAGAAGACTGTCTGCCACAGAAGGGAGGGCCGTGCGACAGCCGCATTTACACAGATCAGGGGGAACGCGCCGCAGTCAGGCATGCGCACTGCCCTCTGCTCTCAAGCAGAAGACTGTCTGCCATAGAAGGGAGGGCCACATTACACAGAGAAGGGAGGGCTGTTGGAGGGCCGTATTAAACTGACCCCCGGGCCGTAAATGGCCCGCGGGCCGGACTTTGGACATGCCTGCTCTATGCTATGGCTGCATACAAACCTGCCAGTTATGTGAATCCCGTTAGTGTGTGGCCAGTACTCTGCAGAAACACTGGCTGTGGATGAAACACTGGCTGTTGGGGATGAGCCTGTGACAGTTGGGGATCGCGCGGACAGTTGGGGATCGCGGGTGCCGTGACAGTTGGGGATCGCGGGTGCCGTGACAGATGGGGATCGCGGGGTGCCGTGGCAGATGGGACTAGTCATTTCAAAGTTTGCGTTTTTTCTTTTCATCACACATGAAGTGACAAGGATTTGACATTCTTGGCAAGAGCAACAGTTATTTTCCATAGGAAAAAGCAATAATGTCTCTGAATTAACAAAACTAATATTAATAAAAATATCAGTGTCCAACCAAATGAAATAATTATAATTAGTAATAGTCCATCCCAATCCTCCATATACCCTAATGCAGTCTTCTTGTAATCCACCAATTCTTAGTGATCCTTGAATTTTCAAGATTTTGGGTGATTACACTTTAATTGGGTGTGATTTTTGTTATATATAGTTATTTTCCTTACTTGCTGGAAAAAGTTCTTAGCCTGAATAGAGATTAATGTGGCCACCAAATCTAAGCTACAATATTTAAAATTTTTATTTGTAGGTTAAGTCAGTGGCTTGACATGTGCGATCTGCTGCAGTGAGATTTCCAAAGTAGTTCCTGCATTACTTTTTTCTGCAGTTTCGTTACGATTTCACATACATAGAGTATACTAGAAATCGCACTGCAAATTACAAGAAATCGTTGAAAATCTTCACAAGTAGCAATAAAGTCTTCAGAACATCAATTAGTAATTACCGCGCTATATAATAATACTACCGTGTCAATAAAATATGCAAAAAAAGTAACTTATTAATAATATATACTGTGAGAATATCAACTTATAAACTGCATCACCAAAAAATAAATCAAATTATATTCACACAATGTATCATCAAAAATAAAAAAAAAAACATATATAAATAAATATTTAAATCCAATTGTGATAATTTTGCAATATAAATAACTAATTAAAAATAAATAAATTCATAATCTCGAAAGAGTAGGGCCCTCTTACCCCTTGTACGTTGTTTTTGTTGTTGTTGTACTGTGCCATGTATTGTCCCCCCCCCTATTGTACAGCGCTGAGCAAACCCTTTGGCGCTATATAAACTCGATGTAATAATAATAATAATGTCCAGTGTGCAAATTGTGCAAAAAAATATATATAGTTCAGCAGAGAAAAAAATGATAGTAATATACTCTCCTTTAAGCTGCTTATGGTTATATAGCTGGGGTCATGCGGCTTCTCTTCTGAGCCTGTATAGGTATAAGGATTTCTCCCTCCTAGAGCCTCTCCTCACTCACCAATGCTCAATGTATCCTCATATGACCCATAGGAAAAAAGGAATGAAAATATGGTGCCTTATCCAAGGTATGTAAAAAACAATCTTTAATAAGCTCCCATAATGCACTCACATTATTCAAATAATAATCACGCCTGTAATGCAATTAAACCACAGATTGCGGTAAGGATCAGCCTCGTAGGAGTGTTATCACACTCCGTCAGTACTCGCCGTAATGATGGTCAGATGCGTGGTGACGTCTTCAGAAATCGCGTTGAAATTGCACACAAATCATGTGATTTTTAAAATGCAGCGTTGTGACCATAGCTTGACTCTCTGATCTGGCTGATTTTTTTTATTTTTTTTTTTCTCCCTGCATTTCAGGGATAAAAACAGCAAGTTTTATCATCTATGTGCACAGAACTCTATGATTAGCAGGTTTCAGCTGAAATCGTTGGCTGAAATGTGCTGCCAAACGCATGCCGTATACAGTCTTAGCACAGGTCGGCAGAGGGCGCACACATGCGCACCCCAAACCAGCAACTCGTGTGTACATTGATGATCTTGTACCGGCTGCCCACTTGCGGTATATTTACTGTGAGCGGTTGGCAGGTGGTTAATTCTTTGGAATGACCAGCACAGTATTGAAGTAAACGTCTTCACTTCCCATTTGATGGTTTTGGACAACTTTGTAATTCCTTAAAACACCCACTTATTACATCAGCTTGAGATTATCGATTGCAGGATTCTGATGCACTTTAAACGTATTACAACACAATCTTGTATATCCATCAAGAGACAGAGGCAGCTGATGTGTACAAATTGGTATGCAGCGGCTGAGGCCATAATGACGAAGACTGAGGTGATCAGGATTTTTTTTGTATCCTCTCTGATGCAGTCATTCTAGACAGTTGGAGTTCCGCTGCAAAAAGTGAAAATGGCACAATTATGGAGAATGTACTGAGATATTAAAGCGGAGCTCCACCCAAAAGGGGAAGTTCCGCTTTAAGGACTGCTCCCCATTAAGGATTGGCACCTTTGGGAAGTTGGGGGGAGCGGGTACCCGAATTTGACAGGTACCCGCTCCCACTTCCGCTCCGATCGCCTAGGCGATCGGAGCGGAAGGTGTCCTCCCTCCCTGTAGTCTCCTGGGACACGTGACAGGTCCCAGAAGACTACAGGACCATTCATGAAGCGCAGTGCTACTTGCGCATGAGCAGTGGGTGCCCGTCTGTGAAGCCGCAAGCTATCGGTGCCCACACTGAAGATGCCAGCATCCTGGAATACAGGAAGGCCGGTGAAGCTGCGGGGGGGGACACCGCGGGACAGAGGGACAGGTAAGTGGCTGTTTTTTAAAAGTCGGCAGCTACGGTTTTTGTAGCTGCTGACTTTTATTTTTTGACAGCGGGAGTGGAACTCCGCTTTTAACTGCACCATTTTTTAAGTGCCGCAGTTGCTCTCTATAGGAAGAGGCACCTTTCCTGAATTTGGCAGATTTCTCACACTGCAGCCTAGAGTTGATTTCATGCGCCTTGAACTGAACTTGCAGTATAGCAAACCCCAAAAACTAAAATGTAATATATTGTAGATTACTGACCCTTAGATGTAGTGGCTGCATTACTTTTTATTCTCTTCAAACAAAGAACATTTTCAGCAAATACAGAACACCTTGATCCTGCCAGAAAAGCAGCGTCTTTGAAACTTCCTGTTAGTGGAAAAGAAACCGCACATCCCATCTTGTGTGTAAAAGTCTAGTCCCATCAGTCCACCAGATAATGGAGATAAAGGCAGACATATTCAAAGTCCAGCCTGTTAGATAACCATGACTCCCTTCAGGTGTAGTGGAGAAGTGAGTGTAGCCACAAAAGTGTGTTTCGAAGGATCACTAGGTAAAAATGAAGGGAATAAGGCTAAAAAACCCCCCCAAAACTAATGCAGCCACCACATCTAAGGATCGGTAAGCTGCAATATTAAATTTTTTTTGAGGGGCATGCTTTTAACCACTTCAAGTCAGGACACTTTTACCCCCTTCCTGTCCAGGCCAGTTTTCAGCTTTCAGAGCTATCACACTTTGACAATTGTGCGGTCATGCAACACTGTACCCATTTGAATTTAAAAAATTTTTGAGACAGATAAAACTTTATTTTGGTGGTATTTATTCACCACTGGGATTTTTATTTTTTTGCTGTATAAATGAAAGTCCAAAAATGTTGAAAGTTTTTTTTTTCTTATAAAATTTTGCAAATCTTTCTTCATAAATCTTGGCCAAATTTTATTCAGTTATTTTAGTAAAAAACATAACCCAAATTGGTTTAGAACCAAAAATTATAATTTTTCAAACTTATTAAATTTTTTTTTTAACATTCTGTCACCCTAGCAGTACAGTGTCACCATATCACCATGATGACACTACTACTTGTGGGGGGTGATGAAGATTTTTCTTTCTTTTGTTTTTTTACACTGATTGCTTTTACACCCATAAAGGCTGTAAAAGCTATCATTTTCTCTCTGGCTGCATTCTTGCAGCCATTGTGAAATACTGTGAGCGCTGTGATTGGTCACAGCTTGTCACATGGTACAAGGCTGTTAATAGCCCTGTACCATGTGATCTCTGTGATTATCCACAGATTTCACAAGTAGTAATGATGGCAGAAGTGACATCTTGCTTACTACTCCATGTGATCACTGATTGACCAATCAATGATCACATGATCAGGACCTCACAGAGGTCCCGTACAGCGATCGGTGTTCCACTGTGTCCTCCGGACACAGCGGGCACCGGATTGCAGTGCCGCATGCTCCCAGGGAGCGCACACAGGCTAAAATAGCGGGCGCCGTTTATGAGCAGCAACCCGCTCCTATGCTGCCCCCGTACGGCCATTTATATACATGTGCCGGACGGGAAGTGGTTAAACCTCATTCACACAGCATACTGATCCATATGCCCATGCAAAGGGTTGTCTTAAGCAACCTGGGATGCATGGATGTTCTTGCAGGTAGCCTGCTGAAATTAATGACAAGTGGCTAGCTGTACGGACCATCATGCACATCCCAGACTGCACATCTGTGCGGGTCCAATGCATGGGTTAGGACACAGTGCTCAGACTCTAAGGGATCTACACTTTGCGCATGGGGGTCCATGCAGCTGGCCTCCTGTCATTGATTTCAACAGGCTGCCTACGCGCCCCTGCATAGAACACCTGTGCATACATGGGCAACTGAAGACGGCCCTTCGCACAGTCATGCAGATTGGTACACTCGTGTAAATGAGGCCTTACACACCTCATCTGCCTGACACTGCGCCTCGCAGTGGGATGGTTTTAGGTACAGAGGCTTCCAATCCAGACTGCAATAGGCAGGGCAAGATGTTGCCAGTTGCTGACTGACAAGCTACAGGCTTGGGAGCCAGCAGTGACAATGCTAATAGCCGTGCCTCCTGAGTTTTGTATTTTAATCCAATTGCCATGCAAGCAGGCACAGCCTATGTGTCACCCCATTACAGGAAACTGCATGACTTTGGGCTTTGCTGGCAGGATCAACAGTTATCAGAGCTTGAATGGCTGTCATGAAGGAACAGTTCACTTTTCGTAACAAGACCCTATCCTGCCCCTGATCCCCCGGTGTGACAGCAGAGGATTCCACCCCATGACCTTCCCCCCTGCTAGCAATCACAAAGTTTGTTTTTAAAAAAGTGGCCAAACGGAGCTCCGCCGACTTGGCCATGTCACTCATTCACAGTATTCTGTGAATGAGAATACTACAAGATCCAACAGCCTTTACGGCTATCTGCTTGTTTTTGATGAACTACCGTGACACTAAGGAGTGCAGTGATAATTCATTGATTCTTCCTGTCGGTGTAACCGTCTGCTCATAAGGAGACACTGCAGGAGACACGCATGGCACCAGCAATCTGCTGATCGCTGGTCCAATGCTTTAGAGGCTCCAGAAACAACAAATTGAATGCACCTTTTTTTTTTTTTTTTTTTTTTTGTGCCTGCAAAAAATTGTGCATTTATTTTTTGTTAAAAGGTGAGCGTTTCCTTTTATAACTGACATCCAGGTTACACAAATCTTTTTTGTAGTTGAATCTTGGTGTTCGTTATTTCTTTCAGATCTGTGCAATAATTTGAAACCACTCCAGAGCTACTTGTAATAAAGACCACTCGCTTCTGCTCTCTACTTGTGCAGGGTGACCAATCCCGTATCCACCCCTTTTTATAGTATGCAGCCTTTAGTGGGTGGGGCTTTTGGGCCGCTCCCACAGCTCTGCTCTCTGTCCTGCACACTGATGATGGCGCTACAACTTTTTGAAATGTTAATAACTGTGTTTGCAATGGCCTATGGTGCACACAACATGGAATATTTGTGAGATGTTTTTTGTGCTTTTAATGTAGGTAATATATCTTGTTGCCTTTCCAAATGCACTTTTATTAGTGCATTATAGGGCGAAACATGTAGGGAGTAACTACAATTACATAACCAAGTTTGAATCTCCGTTTTTACTCTTAGTACTGAAATTGTTTTTATGGTTCTGTATTTTTTTTCCTTTTTGTATTTTTTTACAAAAAAATACAAAATAAAAATTATATAACTTTTTAATATGTTTTGTATTCATGTCCATGCACCCTGAAAGTCCCATCTTCTCTATTGAATATTTGCACTTTTATTGAATGTTTAGTGTTGCCCATTTTCAAAGTGATCCTATGCTTTGAACCTCTACTTTTGTTCCTTATGGGCACATGAAAAAAAATGTATGCTTGGAGCATCTAATACTTTCCTTTTGCTTCCTTGCCACCAGGAATGCTGAGAAGCAGCCCAGTGTAAGATCAGACATCACAGGGCAAAGGACTCTCCTCACCCCCATGTGACATGGCTGGGCTAATCATCATCACTGTCACTTAAAGCGGAGTTCCACTCGCCCTGTCAAAAAATAAGTCAGCAGCTACAAAAACTGTAGCTGTCGACTTTTTAAAAAAAAAACAGCCACTTACCTGTCCCGTCGGTCCCGCGGTGGGTCCCCCGCAGCCAGTTTCACCAGCCATCCAGGAGGCCGACATCTTCAGTGTGGGCACCCGCCTGTGATAGCTTGCGGCTTCACAGCCAGGTACCCACTGCGCATGCACAAGAAGCGCTGCGCTTCATGAATGGTCCTGTAGTCTTCTGGGACCTGTCACGTGCCTCCAAAGGTGCCAATCCTTAATGGGGAGGAGTTCTTAAAGCGAAGCTTCCCTTTTTGGGTGGAGCTCCGCTTTAAGAGAAGGGGTGTAAGTCACATGATCCCTAAATCCTGAAGTAATGGAGATTCGCTCCCAGCAGCTCAATGTAGCAGAAGGGAGGCCAAGGAAAGGAGAATTGGGTGTTAGTGGATCAGTTGTATTGCTACTGATGATTACAGGTTCACTGTAAAGGAAAATCTGTGTGGCCTTTGCAGAATTCAACATGTTCTAATTTTTTCCTTTTTTTTTTCCCTCCTAGGAAACAGAGGTGGAGCTCTACAACGAATTCCCAGAGCCCATTAAACTGGACAAGAACGACCGGGCAAAGGGCTCGGCGGAGACCTGCAGCTGCTGAGGGAGAGGACGGCAGAGCCCTTCACTAACAGATATCACACTTAGGCCTTCGAACACGAAACCCTCTCTCTTCCCTGCCCAGAGTGTCAAGGAATAAATATTAATCTCCTGCACCCTCTCCAGCTCCCAGGCACCGGTCCAAAAAAAAAAAAAAAAAAGCAAAAAAAAAAAAAAAAAAACCGAAAAACACTTGTATTATAAGCAGAACAGCCATTTTTCTCACCCCACTTCCCTGTGGACTACTCGACTATGTCGGGTTAACCCCTGTGTAGCCAAGCGGCCTACAAGCCTTGGCTTTGCAGGCCCCGTTGGCAACACAAAGTGGTTAACATTAAATACTGTTTGTTTGAACATGACTTACTTTTTGTGTCTTGCGGAGAGACAGGTTTTCTTTGTGACTTTTTTTTTTTTTTCTTTTTACAGTTTTGTGTATGATTAACCTATTCCATGAACTTAAATAATCCTTTTTAATTGTTCCGTGTCCCGTTGAAGGCTCTAAACAGGCTGCATATCCTACGATAGGTGGAGGTAGGTAACCTGTGGCCACTCCGCTGCTGGTGCAGTATGCTAAGATTTTCTAGGCCTTGTCCACACAGGAAAAGGTTTGTATAGGAGCTCTGTGTACCGCAAGCAATTGCAATGTTTCCGGTAATCTCTGAGCAGCCTTGTTAAAGATTTAAAAAAAAAAAAAAAACCCTTCAGGCAGATTAAACAAATCTGATTGGTAGTCCTGTCACTTTAAACAAGTTGTTAGGCTACAGTGCTACTTAAAACAGATTGAGAATGGCTAGGGGGCTTGCTTAGGTCCCGTTCACATGGGCATATCGGTCTGTATACTCATGAGAAGGGCACAGCTGTTCCGAGCATCTCCATGCAGGTAATACCTTTCATTTCTTTTGGGATTCAGCAGCTGTATGGACACAGTCCCTGGTCCCATTTTGACAGCTGTGCAGATGCGCGACCCTGAACGTACACTGCGTTCGGGGACATGCACCCGCATAGCTGTCAAATTGGGACCAGGGACTGTGTCCATACAGCTGCTGAATCCCAAAAGAAATGAATGGGACTGCCTGCATGTTGATGCTTGTAACAGCAGTGCATCTCTTCCCGGGTGTGCGGAATGGCATGCCGGTGTGACCGTGATTTTAAAGCGACAGCACTTTCACTCAAATTTGTCTTCAACATACTCCTACTTGCTGAAATCTACAGAAATGCTTTGTAAAAACTTGCTGTACCCACTGCTCTTGCACAAGTCGAAGCCAGTGTGTACACCAGGCCTTCCTTCATCGGTAGCGAAGGCGTCTTGAGTTGCCCACGTCTGCCATTCTCCTTTGCAAGCTCAGCACCCGGTCTCAACTAGGTTTTTGAGTTTTGTATGTATCTGTTATTGCTTGTTTACTTTTAAACTAATCATTACTTTTACAGACTCCATTTATTATGTAATGCTTTTTTAGGGCGAAAAAAAAAAAAAAGTGAAAATCATATAGTACATGTTAATATATGCAACCAATTTAAAATGTATAAATTAGTGTAAGAATTTTTTTTTTTTCTTTTTCGATTTAAGTATTGAAGCACAGGTATTTAGACAGTTAAGGACATTTGTTCTATTGCGTGCTTGGCCTGCAAATCTTCAGCCAGAAAAGAAAAACCTGCAGCTTTTAAGCCAAGTAGAAAGTTTTGGCGACGGCTAAAACACACCAGACTCCTTGACTGCTGTAGCCGTTTTCGGACGTGAATGGTGATCCGAGTTCGAATTAGTTGCCTGGACTGTAGGAAGGAGACTGCTACGGTTTTTTAAAAGAGTCAGATAAAAGTGCTTTATTTTTTTTTTCTTTTCATTTCACTAGATGAGCTTTCTTTAGCTCCTTTGTGACTACAGTTAGGTCTGTGGTGCGCATTATTGGACTTCAATATATGTTCCAGTATGTGTATTAAGTCGTGGGCCCAGTTGAAGAAAAGGCTTTCCTGGAAAGAGTTAACCTCTTCCCAGTTACTTGGAGGAATGGCTCTCTTTGGTGACTGTCAGCCCCGGACTCTTTAACAGAAACCTGTAGTGAGAAGGAAGTGTAGGCTGCTGCTGCTGACCTCATATTAGTTGGCTGGCTGTCATTTGGCTCCCCTCGCATCCACGCTTTAAGGCTGGCCATACACTATACAATTTTCTGTTCAATTTCTGCCCAATTTCTTTTAGATTTACCTTGAACTATGTAGTGCAAGGGCCTGCTTAATTGGATACAATTGAAAGTGTTGATTAGGTTTGACCTCATATTATATGGTTTTTGGTAAATCTAAAGCAATTTTCTAAAGAAAATTGTAAAATGTATGGCCGGCCTTAGTCTCTGACCTGGAATTGGGTATGCATTGAGGCAATTCAGAATGCCCAATGCTCTATACATGCAGCAGGGTAAGTGCCTCAAAATAGATTGGCCAGGACCAGTATATAATAGTCACATGAGTAGCTTTTTTTTTTTTTTTTTTTTTTTTTTTCTCTCATGGAGGTCTGCCGTGGCAACATGCAGGTTTTTCACATGACTAGGTTCCTTTAAATCCCAAAGGAATGTTTTTACTGTCAATCTGCTAAATGCATTTCAAATCCATCACAACAAAAGGTGTTCAAAATCTTTTCTTTAAGAAAAATAAAAAAATAACAGCCACAGCCAGAGTTGCAAAGGCTTTTCCCTGCTAGCATGCTGCAGAGAAGGACCCGTGCTCACTGTGTGGAAGCAGTGGTAACAATGCACAAATCTGATATGCCCCCACTGGGTTCAATCTAGAGCTCTCTAAACAGCCTGGAGCATGAGTTTTGCTGATTGCAGAGCTTTACATCTGACCTAACAGAGGGTGTGTCGGGACACTGCAGAGAGACCACTGCTTCGACACAGAGCAGCCTCATTTACATGACCTAAATACATTCTAGGTGCAGCAAAACAAAAGGTGTTTTAATGTCTTATAGTTCATTTTTAAAGTAGCCACAGCCTGAAAAGAAAAGCCTGTTCCCTGCAGAGAAGGACTGCTGGAGGCAGTGTGAACCATGCAGAGGCTCTTCAAACAGCAAGAAGCTTGAGCTTTGCTGATTGCAAAGGTATAAAAATCTGACTTTATAGAGTGTCTGGACTCTGCTTTCTGGAGAAGCAGTGGTCTCTCTGCAGAGTCCAGACACTCTATAAAGTCAGATTTATACCTTTGCTCTCTGCATAAGCAGGTGGTCTCTCTGCAAAGGTATAAATCTGACTTTATAGAGTGTCTGGACTGCTCTCTGGAGAAGCAGTGGTCTCTCTGCAAAGTCAGATTTATACCTTTGCAGAGTGTCTGGACTCTGAAAAGTGTCTGCTCTCTGGAGCAGCAGTGGTCTCTCTGCAAAGGTATACATCTGACTTTATAGAGCGTGTCTGGACTCCGCAAGCAGCTTGAGCTTTGCTGATTGCAGTTTTGAAGAGCTCTGGATTTAACCAAGCAGGGGTCATCTCAGGCATCTGCAGGGTTATCACCATACAGTGAGCAATGGTCCTTCTCTGCAGCATGATGGCAGGGACTGGCTATATAACTGAGGCTGTAGCCGGGACCATTGCTCTCTGCAGAAGCAGTGGTCTCTCTGCAATGGTCCCAGCAACAGCCTCATTTATATAGCCAGTCCCCTGCCATCATGCTGCAGAGAAGGGCCATTGCTCACTGTATGGTGATAACCCTGCAGAGGCCTGTCAAGCCGCCTCCTGTATTAGATCTAGAGCTCTTCAGAGGGGAGCATGAGCTTTGCTGGTTGCAAATGATTGTGTTCGACTTTATAGAAATTCTGCAGAGACCATTGCATCAACACACACAGCAAGGGTTCCATTTGGTGTAATGCTGGCAGGGAACAGGCTTTTCTTTTCAGGCTGTGACTACTTTCAATGTCTTACAGTTCATTTTTAAACACCTCTAATGTATTAGGTCATGTTAACTTTGAGGGTTCATTTGGACTTTAAGCTTTAGGGGAGAGCTGAGGACTGTGTGAAATCTGAGCCCTTACCTTACATCACTTGTACTGACAGATGACTTTACAGTTACATGAGCGAATATATAACAGTTTTCCCACTAGAAACCAAGCTGCTATGTATAGCTTTCTCCCAACAACCACGCTGCTGTATATACTCATAAGCACGACTGACTTCATCATGGGTCCTGGGTCCTAATCTGAACTTCGTAAGCTGAGGGCTTTATACCTCCAAGCTGCTCTCCTCTGCAATTGGGAAGTGTTTCACTCTTGGACAGTTTCCTAAAAACATCTGAAACAACTGTATGCACATCCCTAGATATCGTTCTCTTCCAATTCTGATCATGAGAAGATGCATCTGGCTGCAACGTGTAGCGGTGCTTTCAGAGGTCGTAGGGTGGCATTTTATCCTTTCCCTTTTTATAATCATGCCTTGTCTGCAGGGGATATTTTGCTAAGCTCTCCCTGGGGGGGGGGGGGGGATAGGTTTCCCCAGGTATCCTGTAGAATGAGTGCTCTTCCCAGTCTGGGGTGTATATATATACCCCCCCCCCCCCCCCCCCCCCCCCCCCCCCCCCCCCCCCCCCCCCCCCCCCCCCCCTACCCACCCCCCCCCCCCCCCCCCCCCCCGTCTTCTCCAATAGCAGGTAACGTAGTATTAAAAACCCTCATCCTCCTCTTCCTCCTCACCCGCTGTACTGCAGATCAGACTATTGCTATGAATCCCCCCCCCCCCCCCCCCCCCCCCCTTGCCATTTGAGCTCTCCCAATGTCTGTTTTTGCATTTGTGGCTTGCTTCCATATAGCACTTCTGCCTTTTTTTTTTTTTTTTTCTATGTTTTTTTTTTTGTTTTTTTGTTTGTTTTTTTTCTCCCTCCCGGACAGTCTACATAATACTGCGTAGGCTGGACTCTTCTGTAAAGATGACAATGATGCCAATAAACTTAACAAGAAAAGATCTGTATGGCTGTCTTTGTGTATCGGATGCCAATTCTATGTCTAAGGTGCATTACAGTCACAACGATTCACAT